AGCGCGTGCATTAAACATTTAGTAAATATGTCTTTCTGATTTCGAGAAAGTACCAGAAAATTCTCGCGCATGATTTTAAAATCTTATAAAAGGAGGAAATCCACTCAGTTCGTTGTAATTACTTAGTTTGCTGTTGTTTAGAAAACTGCTCTTGTTGATTGTAGCGAATTCGCGAATTAGCGTTCTTTAGCTGTTTTGAATTAAGTTCTATTGAACTTTTGAGTAGTTAGAAGATAACTACTGTGATATATTGTGATACTGCACGATTATTTGAGGATATTTAATCATATTTGTTGTGATAATAATAAATTTTCTTCATTTTTCATCGGACTTGTGCATTCATTTCGTAACGAACCCGTACGCACGCAACAATACATCTAAACCCTAATAGTTCGTGTTTTTTCTTAAATAGTGCTAATATTGTTTGGTTGTTGTAAGGTTATTATTCCATTTCAGATATGAATATGGGAAATGTTTTTGTTTGGTTATTAGCTTTAAGTATATTTTTGTTGATTTGTATTTGATCACATTTATTAACTAATTTATACAGTCTTTCATTTGCATATCTTGGAGATATAAAAATTAATAATTATATTTTTTACTATGAAACGCGAATAAATTTATACTTGAGTTCAGATAAAATACTGATTATGCTACCTTACGCTTCCTAATTTATCATGACAGGGGCAATTTTCACTGTCTCTGAGGTTTAACAGAAATAAATGTGATAATGCTGTTATAATCAGAAACGCTCTTTTTTTTTGCACACATATATAGCTTTACTTTTATTTATCTCTACTATTATTGTTATATATTTATAATAATCACTTTCATAATTACTCACACTTACATAATTACTCTCTAAAGGATTAAGAAAAAAATTATGAAATATTAAATAATCGTAACTTAGAATTTAAGTTATCTAAAAAATATAGCTTAAAGTACTGAAAATAATTAAGGCATATTTTCCTTATGCATATTTAGTCTAAAGAGAAATTAAAGAAATATAGTTTAAAGTACTGAAAATAATTAAGGCTATTATTAATTATGCATATTTAGTCTAAAGAGAAAAAATTTTATTATCTTCTGATTTTCAGGAAATGATAAAATATTTAAACTTTAGAAATATACAAGGAATACAAAATTTTTTAAAAAAGAAGAAAAATACACTAATTATTAAGCTTATTTTTCTGCATAAATCAATATGTAACACAAGGACATCATAACGACGTTTTCACAACTGTTGCAAAAAAGTGGTTGAATTCTGCGAACATTTTAGCGTCGTTAAGACATCGTGATATAATGCTTTCACAACCAAAATATAACATGAGAAAGACGCAATAACGACGTCTATTCAACATAAACCTCATACGCAAAGAGGTTAAGACGTCTTTGCAACGGTTGCAAAACAGTGGAATTTCGCGGTTCATTTGGGTGTCTTAAAGACGACATATTGCAATGCTTTTGCAACATGACTCGCGACCAGTTTGCAACGTCGTTACGACGTTGCCGTGCTACTTGGACTCAATATTAGTGTTAGAAAATCGGTTTTCAGTAACTAATGGTTAATGACAAGAATTAAAAATTACGCTTTGGGGCTTAAAAAATTAGACACAACACTGTAAAGGTGATGGTACATTGTAGACGCTTCTATATAGGGCTATCTGGAAGATTTATTTTTGTAGCGAGGTATTTCATTGCATAAATATCATTTGATGGTTTTTTTTTCCTTTGCATATAGCAAAACACACGACACTTTCTGCCGAACGAGGGAGATGCCATAGGGAAGAACTTTAGAAGGGTAACTTACTCATATTTACGTAACACCTGGAGGGAAATTATGAAAAATACCAGATAGCCAGCCAGTTGACAAGTATACGAACTTGAGTCAAACTACCAGTGTTCAGCATTCTAAACTTATCGGAACTTTTTCTTCCCCCCCCCCCACGATCATGGGGCAGCCATCCATTGAGTTTACTTAGCTTTCTTGCCAGAAACCCCGTTATCGGAACTATTTTATAATTGAACGACAATGCAATGTCCGCCGGGTCTATCCTAGGGATGCAAACCATATATGTGTATCTAAGAATGAAAACTTGCCGGTCAGTTAATAGTTAGAGATCAAGGAGGAAGAAGGACATTCAGTATGTTCAGACTGTAGAGTCATTAGGTTATTTTGAAGCTGAAGACATGATAAATGAGCATGCCTCGTCGTCGAACCTGGACCTCTCGGATACGTGCCGAGTGTGCTACAGTTACACCCCGAAGGCATGCAGAAACGAGGGGGAAAATACCTTATATGCACCCCCTTTTACAGAGAGACTGGGGATTAAGGGACCCAATCGTCAAATCCGGGGGGGGTGAAGATCATCATCCACCACCTTTTAGTTCGGGCGTCATTGTAGAATTATTAGAATAATTTGGAAGCAAGAAACATGAAATGAGCAATGTCTTCACCGGGACTCGAACCTGGACCTTTCGAATACGCGCCGAGGGTGCTACCCTTACACAACGAAGGCATGCAGAAAGGAGGGAGAAAATAACTTATAAGACAACTGCATTCTGTGCTTCATTTGCACGCACGGAAAGAAAAAAACAGTTACAATATATATGCTTACACTATTATAAAGACACTAAAACTATTTCAAAAATTCAAACTAAATGCAGAATACACAGCGAGGAAGTATGGATTTGATGACATTTACGTGAATATTTCCAGACGAATACAGTTAAAAGTAAAACATAAAATTGTCTATAATTTAATATATTTGTATATTCGTACAACATCAGCAAGCGACGTATGTTTATAGAAATAAATCGCACAACAAAGCTATACGTTATTGTGTATATACGACAGTGTGACTATATACTAACTTTCGATTTCTTATAACGTTAATTTGTAAGGATTTTAAGTTTTACTAACATTTATTTAATCTTAAAACTTTACTGTCTCCTGTTATTTTCCACTTCCGGTCAGAATAAACGCGGTTAATTTTAGTATGCAAATTGAGCTTGCAAACTGTTAAGTATTTAAGTTGTCGCTTTTAGCCAAGAAGGAGAGTTAGAGAGAGAGACTTCTCGGCACCTTATTTCGCGTGCGCTTTTCAGGCAGTTGCTGTCCGCCTTTAAGGACAGAAATTTAGTCCTCTTGATATTGAAGACGTAGTTTTCCCGCATTTTACGTACTACATACGTAAAGATGAAAAAACCAGTTCTCGCGTTTTTAATCTTTGTAAAGCATCTGAGTTTAGCTCTTACTTAATTTAGTTAGTTTGTAGTTCTTATTTTTTTACGTTCAAACCACAAGTACTGGCCTTTGTATCCCGAAGTGCGGGAGCAGCTGTAAACTGTGAAGAATAAAGGGTAATTAAACCCTTCCCATCTGTGTTGTATCTTCTACAATTTCTACGGATATAGTTTAAACTCACTGTTCTACATCAGGACACCAACATGTTTGTTAAAATGATTAGAAGAAGTAGTAGTCCTGATAGCTTAAGCCATTTTATATTAGGGTCCTAAATTTATTAGGACCTATTCTAAATTTATTAAAATTATTTGTGTATTATAAGTTTTATTCATTTATATTTTTACAAACTATTGTATGGATGACTGTGCAACGGTAAATTAGAGTGAGATTTAGGATTATGTACTGATATATATTATCAGCTGAACAAGTAATTTCCGAAATGTGGGTGGAGAAAGAATTTTGGGGGACTCATTAGAGAGTTTTGAAAGTTTGCTGTGTTATAATATTATGTATTTAATTTATAATTATAAATTTTAATTTATAATTAGAAATTAAATATAATTTAGAATTATAAATTAACTCTTAGAAATTATATACAGTAATAATGGTCGCCTTAGATAGATGTTAAATCCTAATGAATATTTATGTTGTAAGAGATACTAACAGTTTAAAAGATGGTTGTTTTAGAGCTGGTTGTCACGAGAGATTTCATATTAATGGTTTCTTTACCATTATTTTTCATTATATTATTTTTTTCATAAGATTCTTCTCTCCCCCCTTTTCAACTGCCTTTCAGAGTAACTATGTTTATATGGGTCACAATAAGTAGCAATTATATACAGGGGTGTTACAATGCTAAATATTTAGGAACAATTGAAATGCAAGCATTTTGTACAAATATATGGAGTGAGGTTATTTGCTGATATGATGTAGACTAACATTCTTTATAATTTTAATTATTATCTATATTTTTTTATAATTTTATTTTCACAGATTTGTCAGGAGAATTTGGATTCATGTTTTTATATATAAATTTTAAATAATGCTTTTTTATTGACTTGCATAAAGAATAGCAGTAGCCTATACGAGTAAGCTTCTACTCGTAGATACTTAAAATTTTATCAATTTTATTCGAAATTATCATTATTAAAAATTATTCTAAATGTAATTGTTCTTATAATCATGTTACGCACTTTCTTCGAACCTTTTTGTATTTTTGTTACATTTTAACTTTTTAAGCGATATAAACATACATATGCACTAAATAACGTCATTTAATATATATAAATAAAACGTCTTTAATATACATTAAATGACGTATTCTTTCAAGAACGTGACGACATTAAATAATATATATTTGTTTCTCTCAGTTTTAAATTTTCGAAAATTAATGTAATTTAGCCTCTAAATTTCGTTCGTAACATCGTCTGTATTATGTAATTCACTGACAAGGAGTTTTTGTCGATTTGCAAACGTTTGCCATGACTGTGTAACATACAATTCATTAGCTTTGAAAATAGACTTAAAAATGATATTGTGACATTTAAAGTAATAAAATTTTTAGTATCTGTTAACTTTTAATCCAAAAGGGTTTTTGTCTCTTGCTTTATCGAAGTTCGCAACTATCACAAATATAGCCGGTCACATTACTACAGATAAATCGGAATTTAATTGTATTTAAAAATTTTCAGTTAGTTTCATTCCAAAAATTTATTTCTCTAAGTAACAACTTAATAGTAGCGAAATAACTTACCTTTATTTTATCACTTAACCTGCCCATCGAAACGCGACAGTATTCTAAACACTGAAAGAATGGAAAACGTATAGTTCTGTTTCTAGGAATATAAAATTACAAGTTTCAATTCGGATTGAAACTTTACGTCCGACTCGTTAAACTACGGCACGACAAATGTACTATGTAACTGTGTTGCTCATGACAATAAACACTTTTCCAGTAATAGAAAGATAGATTTAGTCAAGTGATAAGTTAGAGATGATTGCAACACTGTATGTTAAAATGTTACTCTTGTTCCCATTTCATTCAAATAAAATTCATTCAGTTGAAACTTGTTCAGATGTTAAAATCGGATGTATATTGAAAACCATTTCACGGTCTCACAACACTTAACGGAAAAGCTATCACGCATGAGTAAAACATGAGAATTCAGTTATATGTGTTTTTTCCTGTTTAGGTGGACATTGAATGGACTTTATTTAGCAGAATTTAGTCTACAGTTTTCATTATGTTGCACTCCATCGTAAAACAAAGAGAAAGAAGAGTTATATGCCAGTCTGCTCCTTTCTAAATCACAATAATTTCTTTTCATTACAAATGTTATCACATATCAACATTTTAAGGGTTACCTTTAATCTCTTTCTTCCAGAAAACTAAATTCAGTCAAATGTTTTCATTTCCTTTTTTCATATTTCCATATTTAATATTTTCTTAACTGTTTTCAAGATTTATTTCTGGATCAGTTTAAAGTAGTGGATTTTACTGCATTTAAAGAAATAACCTATAGCAAATGCTTAGGGTGTCTGTTATTAATCAGTAAAATTAAAAGTCAATTGAAATTTTTGTCATTGCGTAGTGGAGAGATTTCTTTGTATTAAAAATGACTTTTGTACATAATCGAAAAAAAGCACTACATCTGGACAGTAGAATATCAGCATGGGGAGCTAGATCTCACCACATCTGTTCAAATTTGTATACGTTTCTAAGCTTCATCCGATACTTAAGAAACACAATGATTAGGTGCTTTATGCATATTTCCAAAGCACATACAGGCTACGTTTTTGCAGGAGGAGTCTTTAAAGAGAATTTTGCTTACATGTTAAAAGATTTATAGAGAGCGTTAGGTTTTCTGGACAAGAAAACGTGAAAAACTGCAACTATGTTCTCGCCGACATGTGAACTACAATATTTTCTAGTTGTTAACTGGATATTCTTAGGGAAGTCCGTTTAAGAGAATAGATAATTCCTTATAATATCCATTATTTAAAGGGTGACTAGTAATAGGCGCGAGACCTACTCTACTATAATGAGTTATCTTCCACCACATTTTCGTTCGGGGGTCATTATAGAAAACATTAAGCTTTCTGGTGCAAGAAAGGTGAACATGCAACTGTGCCTTTGCTAGAATTCTAACTACCGTACTTCATTATACTTGAGAAGCCTGTCTGGAGGAATCTAGATTATAAAGTAGTTCTCCCGCCTTGCCTTCGTGGTGTAATGGCCAGCACACTCGGCGGGTATTTGAGAGGTCCGAGGTTCGATTCCCGGCAAGGGCATTGCTCCTTTTTCACGTCTCCTGCTTCAAAAATCCTATTGACTCTACAGTGGCGCCCGAAGTAAAAAGGTGGTGGATGATGATTCTCCCCCACCAGGAATTTGCAATTGGAGCCCCTAATCCCCATTCGCCCTTTAAAAGGGGAAGTATATAAGGTATTTCTCCCGCCTTCGTGGTGTAATGGTCAGCTTACTGGGCGAGTATTCGAGAGGCTAGGGCATTGTTCATTTTTCACGTCTCCTACTTGAAGAATCCTAATGTCTCTACAAGATTTACGAGAAAATATCGTGTCCCGAGTTTCTGCAATTTTTATTTTTTCGTCTCAAGATTCCCTATTTCTTAATTTAGAGAAAACGTTTTTCAAAAACCCGTATTAAAAAATAAATTAATATTTTGCCCCTTCTCTATTATCTAACAAGTTATGATTTTCCAAATCTGAAAGACTGAAAGTTGTTTTTGTCTCAACAAACTATTCCTGGGAACTATGGTTACTTGATAGGAAAATATATTGTCTCTTGAAACAACATATATAAAAATATTCAACTAGTCGGAAATAAAATCGCATAAAACGGTATTTACTCTCAGTGTTTCTAATGCGAGATTCATAGGCTGAAATGATATCAAAAACAAATAAATGAAATTGAGCAAAAGTATCGAAGTGTTTCACTCATCTCTTAAACAAAGTTCCTTCAAGAGATTAAAAAATTAGAAGCTGCAGAAAATATCTGTTTTAAGAGAACTTCAAAATATTATGTGATAGTTAATGCGAAAAGTATAATGAATATATTTTTTGATAAGGTTAACTTGAATATGAATATTGCGTTTACTTTGTGCATGTTGCTGAGCTTGATACTGCATACTAAGAATTGAGTGTAGCCCGATAACTGGAAGAATCATTTCGACAAAGCCTCTGCAAATGACTGGGTTGATTTCAGTTCATAAGCTAAATAACTGTGAATATGAGGCAACCCGTAAAACAACATCAAGTATGGAAATGCTGACAAATGTATAATTTTGAATAGACCCGCCATCAACGCGCGAACCAGATCCGAATTTGTAAGACTGCTGAAGAATGGTAATTCGATTCGGGTTCGAATATCGGAAACGGCCTAGCTGCATAGATGTTTTCATAGATTTTCCATGTGTACCATAAATACGAGCCATTCTTCTACAGACAGTCCCCCCACAAAGGGTTATTTGTTTAATCTTGCCTTTACAACAGGGTTCTCCGCCTAAGATTAGGCAAAAGACCTGTTGCCCAGTTGTGATGTTTACTCCAAGACGTTTCCGTCCGCGATGTTTTCGGTAAATACCCGAATGGGTCGTCCCTCGGTAGCACCTGCTTTTGACTTAGTCCGGAAGACTGTTCTACTTTTCTCTTCAGGTTAAGATGCTCTGTACCTTGAACCTTTCTTACTTCTTTGCGTAAAATACTCTACGCAGCAATATGGCTTTAGCAACAGTATTTTACATCGTATTATTTCGTATTTATGTAATAATTGCTGAACTCAATAAACATATGCAACATTCTAATATTTTAAGTTATTTGATAACTACCTACCTAGTTAAATCATTTTTATGAGTTTAACGGAATAAATTAGAATTATGCGATGCTTGTTTCAGTGATTTATTAACAGTTTACATATCGTATTATAATGATGAATACTTTTAAAATGTGAAGGACGTAACTTTCCACTGAGGCAAAAATTCAAACAGTTTCTGTAATTTAACCAGTATTCTTAAAGACAACACTTTGAACTTGTGTATCTCATGAAATCTTCATCTATGATACAGCTGTACAGTTTTTCAGTTCAATTCTGGATAATTCCCTACACAGTTTAATAGTTTCAATATTATATAAAGTGAAAAAACCTGTACATTAAAATGTTTGCCGATAATAATTTTATAAGGTATTTCTACCGCCTTCTCAGCATGCCTTCGTGATGTGGTCTGCACGCTGGGCGCGTATTCCAGAGATTTATGGTTCAATTCCCGGCGAAGACGTTGCTCATTTTTCACTCTCTCTTGCTTAATAAAAAATAATGTCTCTACAGTGGCGCCCGAACTAAAAGGATGGTGGATGATAATTCTCCACACCCAGGATTTGGCGATTGGATTCCCTAAAACCCCAGTCGCCCTTTAAAAGGGGGATTACATACTCCCGCCTTCTTAGCATGCCTTCGTGGTGTGGTGGTCTGCATGCTGGACGCGTATTCAAGAGGTCCATGTTTCGATTCCTGGCGAAAGCGTTGCTCATTTTTCATCTCTCCGGTTTTCAATTAAACTAATGTCTCTACAAGTGGCGCCCGAACTAAAAGGGTGGTGGATGATGACTTAATTTCGGTAAGGTTTTTCTTTGTAATTATGTATTCAAGTTTCTGAAATCAGATATCAATCTTACTGAGTATGGTGCTGTACTTTTCTGTTTACGTTCACTTTAACGTACTCAAGTCTGTATTTATTACTTCTCTGCATGTACTATAAAGGTTAATTCGTACTTTACTAGGATTTAGACTACATAGCATTAATTAATGGTTACTTTTATGTATTATTTTCATCAGTTTTAGTTTTTTAGTTTTCACGTATTAAATATGCATTTTTGAAGTGTTATGTATGCAGGTATTAGGGATCAGCTTTCTGTATTTCTGTACTCAGTATCATGTTAATTTTTCACTTTAATATTCAGTTTTGTATTTATGTATGTACTATCCTGTCTGCAAGTACTACGAAGAAAAATGTAGATACATGGTACAATTTGTAAAACAATTCTAGTTTAAGTTTGCGCAAAGAACTAAATTATGCAGGAATTTTTTATCTTAGTGATAACAGGTACACAATCTTTTAAATGTTTTTACATAAGAGTCATAAAGTAATTTGCGTTAAATTACGTTTGGGCGCTAATTTTTTTTTTTTTTTTTTTTTTTTTTTTTTTTTTTTTTTGATTCAGTTTACTACGTGCAATAATTTAATAGGTTACGTCTTTCCTTCATGCAAGACCAACGATTTTACAAAAGCCCAATAAATATATGGCAGTTGTGTCAGGATTAGCATCCGCATGTAGACGTTTGGCTAGTCCAGAAAATCCACGGTAGTTAATTTTTCAGGCAGAGTCCTCCTTTCTTTATTTTATCTAACACAAGTTTTTGTCTATTCTAACAGCGATTCTTAACAGTCTTTTGATAGCTTCTTTGCTTAATTTTAAGTAGTTCTTAACAGGATACTCTTTCCCCGAACAATATCCAAGCTTACATGTAGACTTTATGAGGCTCTTAGCAGTCTATTCGGCTGCGTTCCCGTAGCAGGGTGGAGCAGAGAGTAGATGGTTTCTGCCAGGAAGATAACACACTGTGAGGCTAAGGCCAGGCCAGTGGTCTTCCTTGATGGCACTCACTCACTCACTCTCCACACCCAAGATCTGGCGATTGCGTCCCCTGGAAACCCCAGCCGCCCTTTAAAAGGGGGAGTATATAAGGTATTTCTCTCGCCTTCTTAGCATGCCTTCATGGTGTGGTGGTCTGCATGCTGGACGCGTATTTCAGAGTTCCGTGGTTCGATTCCAGGCGAAAGCGTAGCTCATTTTTCATGTCTC